AGTCAAAATACGGCTTTGTCTGGATAATTGCAACAGAGCCTTGCTGACTGTCGGGAGTAAATGTGTAAAGCGGAAAGTGGCACAATCATTGGAAAAGGCTGCAAAGTTGTGTGCTTGAAAGCACCGACCACTTCCAAGTGTCATCCACCGACTCCATTGATCATATTGTAAAAGTCTGCAAATATCCGGCGACGAACATATGGATGGATCCACTTGAATAATGCTCCCAACCATCAGAAAAGACAGCATTCGTACACCAATGCCAGGATGTTTCCATAGTTTTACAAGCACGGACATACCGTCTACATCCTACGGCAAAAAGCTGCGGGAAGGAGGACATGCATTAAGGGGCAGACAATCACAGCTTGGACCATGCACCGATGCGCTCAAGCAAGAATACAAGAACGCACATGAAAAACATGCAACTGTTTTATGCATCCGTCAAACCTTCCTGATCTGACATACATTCCATGGACTCGTATTCCGAGCATGGACTTTGATCAATCACATTGGAGGAGAACGAGCAGGAAAAAGAGGAGGCAGGAGAACGAGACAGAGACGGAGAGCGGGAGAAAGAAGGAGAGCAAACAACCGAGGACGAAAAAGACAGAACCGAGAGAGAGAAAGACGCGAGAGACCGGGCAGACGAAGACGCAGGAGACGAGGGACAGGGAGACAGCGCAGAGAGGGGAGGAACGGAGAGAGAAAAAGAGGAGACGCAGGCAGACGCGGGAGAGGCGGCAGGCAAGGCCAACAAAGGAGGGAACGCCCCACCAGAGGCACAGGAGAGGGACGACGCGACAGGCGCACGAAGACCCAAGAAACGAGCAAAAGGGAGACAGGAGGAAAGGGGTGAGATTGGAACATTTCTTCTAACGCAGAAGAATACCATCATCATTCTGTTGCCGTTAAAAGGCAGCGTCGCATGAATACAATTGCCATCGAAACATGTTGGGCGTCGAACATCCAGCCGTCTGCCTCGAAGAATATCGCCAACTCGGGCAACTCGACACGAGTCATCTGTTATAGCCAATTGCTCAGGTCCGTGCAGTTCATGTAAGAATAACTCACCTCCCGTCCAATCACCCAAGGCCCAGCCAATGCTGTATCCTCGATTGTTGGAATCACGGTGTGGAACAGTTCGTAAGTTTCGATTCACTTGAATAGTCGTACATTCAAAATCTTGTAAATGTGGCCAAAGTTGTATAACACGCATCATCAATCTTGTCAGGTTGGGAAACTTGAAAGTGTTCTTTGTAAATTGTAGGCGACCACGTGATTGTACGCCAGCATACAAGCCAAGGAGAATCTGGTCTGCATGAGTGTGTGGATCCGACCGTACACTTCTTCTGGAATAACTTCTCCAGACATCGTCAGGAATAGATAAGAGCGTCCGGTAAATAATGTCCGCACAGTCCCCTGGGGAATGTATCAAGGACATACACACATTCGGGTCCAGAGAGCTTCTTTGGGAACGTAACCTGGCGGAGTCCTTCTCTGGCATTGAGACAGAACACTTCGGAATGTACAAGGTAAAAAGCTTGGCAAGCAGCATATTCATAGAGTTTAGGCAATGCAACTGTGCATCAGACACCGCACTGTGTTTTGG